TTTTGCCATTTTCTCTAACATATTTCTTTGCTGGCTAACACTGAGAACTTAGCGTTAATTATTCTTTACTTATTGACTCCAGAGTGTCAGTTGAAATATTAAGAAAAGCTTTAAATAGCGATCATTGTTGGAAGTTAAACTGAGGTACCAACATAGATACAAACGTAGGTTTTAATTTTTTCAATGTTCTGGTTTAATTCGCGATTTGCAACATTAAAGACGAATACATTTTCACATTTCAATAGCTTTATTTCATTAAAAAACAGAAAAGATATTAATTACTCAAATTTGCATTACAGGTCACTAAGGGATAATACAGTTCTTGACATGTCTTCTTTCCCTAAGCCTCGTCATCCTGTAACAATATAATGAAATGAAGTTGAATATATATATATATATATAAAAAAAAAAGTAGATACACATGAAGCAACCATGGGAGTTGGATTTTAAAAGCTAAAAATGTAAAATGAGGGTCCCTACAGTTCCCATTTTCCATTCCAATTTTTTTTCAGTTTCGCTAATTCAGTTCTCTGGTGAGCTTTAAAACTGCAGTCTTTGCTCAGGCCTTTCCGCAACCGCTCTAATCCCCGAGGCTTCTCACTCGCACCTGCTCAAATTGTAGGCGACGTAATATCTACAATTTCTTGAGGTCTCCTCACAACCTTTTCATGGCAAGATTTTCATATTTTATTTTTTTTACTTGGCTGCCCGGCTTTGCAAGTGCAACAAAGAGCCTATAGATTTCATGGAATCATTAAGTAATGACAAGAGAATATTCTCTTCATAATGACTAGGTTCGAAAAATCCAACCTTCATTTTGTTCGTTTTTCTGTTCATCCTTTTCTTACGAAAATGGTTTACATACACAGCAGTTTGAAATATGTCACTGCTCAGTCAAAATTTCGACTGATGTAACTTATAATACGGGTAAATCTAGACTAAGAGCATTCCCGCCTTCTTGCGTCGGGTTGCGTTGCGCGAGTCAAAATAAGTCAGTGAAAAATAAACTTGATGTTACCGCGCCGCGGGACTAGCTCCATGAAGTGAAGGCACGTCGATGCACCGCGGGAGCTCCGTGAATGAGGCGCTCGAAAAGTAAGGACGACAGACTAAGCTTAGATCTGGCCTACTTGCAGACGGTAGTTTGTGTTTTCAAGCGCGAGATTCAGCGCAGCGAACATTCGGTCGCCATACTGAACGGATGGAAGATTTGTGACGAGTGACAAAGCGAGAGGGAGGGGGGAAGGGGAGGGGGTTGATAGTAAACAGCCAGGGTTGATAGTAAACCAGCCTGGGGAGACTGGCGCTAAGTCTTAGTAAAATACACATAAAAAAGGCATTAACCTTATTTGTCTGGATATCCGCATTTAAAGTTGTAGCAGCGAAAAATATGTAAAACTTGCTACGTAAATGGACACCATGTGAACAATATGTCAAATATCTTATTCCTTGACACACTTTCGTTCGTTATTATCCCTGTAATGTTTTGGCGAAATTTCACGAAATTTCGTCAAATCTACTTACCCTTTAAATTCGCTCAGAGTGAATGTATTCCTCTCAAAATCAAATCAAGATTTTAGAAAGGCCCTAGCAAACGGTTTCAACATCCATTCGATTTTGTTGAACGCTGTTGAAAAGTGGTTGAATGATGTTGAACGGTGGGATGGGCAAACGGTGTCAACAATTCGTTCAAAAAAACTTAGCGAGTGGCCTGGTAATTAGTTTCATGCCCCAGTTCTTTGCACGCCTGAGACACATCCAAGGGCGCCATTTTGAAATGAAACAATGGATCGCGCGTAAGTTTACAACAAAGTTCGCTCGTCATTAGCGGTTTTTGTAGCTTTCGAAGTTTTGAATGATTAGGATAAAAATCCCCGAAGGGAAAAGACAAGGCAATGGATCAGAAGAAGGGATGAAAGGGGCTATTTGGAGGCAGCGCGGCCGAGTGGTCAGCGTGTCGGACTCGCAATCCGGCGGCGCTCCCGAGTTCGAGTCCCGCCCTGACCACTTTCGAATTTGTTTCAACCATCGAGACNATGACAACTTCTGAGGTCGTAGTGTCATCAACATATTTCCACATTTCGGCATTTATGCCACTACTTACTTCAAGATCATTAATAAGCACAAGAAATAACCACGGCCCTAGCTTTGTTCCTTGTGGGACGCCGGACGGAACTGACTCCCACTCAGAAAAACAACCTTTTGCAAGTTTGATTCGCTGAAAACGGCCCGATAAAAAATCTATGATCCAATTAATTATCTGTTTGGGTATCTCCAAGACGGTCAGCTTCCTAACTAAAATGCCATGATCTAAAAGATCAAAAGCCTTCCTATAATCGTATAGTGTGGCTCTCACGGTAGCGCCGTTTCCGTCAGTCGCTTCTGCCCATCGGTGAATCATGTGAATCATAGCTAGGGTTGTAGAGGAGTTTGGCACGACCCCATACTGGTTTGGATCCAAAACTCCCAAGACGGCTGGTTTGAAGTGATCACTTACAACACATTCCTCTGCAACCTTAGAGAGGCATGCCGTCAGTGAGATTGGTCTCAAGTCTTTCTTGAGATCTTCTACGGGCTTCCTCTTGGGTAGGGGGGTCACATCAGCAAGTTTCCATATATGCGGCTAGCACTGCTCTCTAAGTGACGCATTGATGATTTTTCTGACTGGGAAAGCAAGAAAATCCGCGAATTCCTTCAAGAGCCAATTTGGCACCTCGTTCGGGCCACTCGCCTTTGATGGGTTGAGCTTAGATAGCAACCGTAGTTCTGTTAATTCATGTAGATCTGACGTGTCAATCTCAATGGGTACCTTGACAAGTGGTTGCGTCAGGCGATACTCC